ACTGAGGATGTTAAGGGGGACGAGGCTAACTGAGCAAAATTACTGTTTCACGATGATGGAAGAGTCAGGAGGAAACTTGTGAGTGAGTTCCTTCTTCTGAAGATGTTTGTTTGATAATGTCAGACTCAAGTGCTGCTGGTTACTCTGCTGTGGGTACCATACATCTGTGGCAAGTTGACGAGCCACTTGGGTTGAGTTTCCTCACATCTAAAATGAAAGGAGCAGTTAGATGAAAGAATCTTCAGATCTCTTTGATTTAGAAAAGGTTTTGATCATAGAATAAGATCATTGGTGGAATATGTGGAGTTTTCAAAGCAAAATAAGACTATTATAGATATCAGGGAATGAATTATAAATGTTAAGAAATGATTTTCCATTTCCTCTGTCTGATACTTTTCCTGTTTTTTCTAGTTCTTGTTTGCTACACGCACAGTAAAGTTGAGGAAGCTCACACATCTCCTTTATCCATAGTTACAGCCCTGGTGGACAAAATTGGTAAGCAGTATCATTTTCTATGTGTCCTTGGGATTCTTAGTACTCCCCCCCAAAATTGAAAAACAAAACAAAACTCTGGCAGAGCTTTCATAGTATGCATTTTCCCCTGTAGGTGGGCATCGGGCGAGTCGGTTCTAAGTTAGTGCAGCCAGTGGTGTTGCCTGGGAAGGTTCTCTCTGGTCAGAGTGAATTTTTTTGCTCCAAGCTCATTTTTTATGATGACTGGTTTAAGAGAACAGCACGCAGCTGTGAAATTTTGTTTCCTGCTTGGGAAAAGTGCCGCAGAAACTTTTGGCATATTGAACATAGCTTACAAGGACAGTGCTATGGGAAAAACTCAAGTGTGCAAGTGGTTTTCTTGTTTCAAAAAAGATGAAATGTTGATTGATGACCAACCTTGTTCTAGATGTCCATCAACTTCCCGAAAAGATGAAAATGTTGACTCCTAGTCCATTTGGAGTTTATTCCACCAGGTCAGACTGTTAATCTAGCTTTCTATTATTTAGAGGTTCTGGAAAGATTGCGTAACAGTGTGCAACTAAAAAGGCCTGATTTGTGGCAGACGGGGACTGATTTTGCCACTTTGACAATGTACCTGCTTACCCAGCCATCTCCGTGCATTAGTTTTTGGCAAAAAACAGCATGCCTTTCTTGCCCCATGCACCTTACTTCTTTTTGTTTTTGCGAATGAAGAGCAACATGAAAGGACAGCAATTTGACGACATAGAAGAGGTGAAGAAAAAAATGAGGGAGGTGCTTTCAGCCATCCAAACATGAGTTTGAAAAATGTTTCCAAGAATGGAATTGCAGATTTGACAACTGTATTAAGTGTAATGGAGAGTACTTCAAAGGTGATAAGGTGGTTTTGTAAAAAAATTTAAATACTTGGCTTTGAAAAGCCAAGAAATTCTGATTTGTTTTTTTGGAGGGGGTACCCCTCATATTCTTGAGATTAAGGGAAATGTTAGCCTTTTGTGGAGTTTTTTATGTGATACATATGTTTATGAGAATGTCTGTGTATCCAAATATAATTTTTTGGAGGTAGAAAGGTTTTGCGTGATTCCACTTTTATCTTTTTAATATATGTTTCCATTAAAAAGGTTTCTTTTATATGTCAAACAAATTAGTTTTGAAGACTAGAAAGATATGTAGTGGACTTTGCCAAAATGTCAAGTGCAATTCCTTGCGTAGTATAGAAAATTTCTCACTGATTTGGGCACCTAATTGATTCTCTGAATTTGTTTTTTGTTGTTTTGTTTTAAAGTCATTTTATTGGGGGCTCATAAAACTCATCACAATCCATACATACATCAGTTGTATACAGCACATTTGTACCTTTGTTACCCTCATTATTCTTTTTTTTTAAATTATTTTATTGAGGGCTCGTACAATTCTTATCACAGTCCATACATACATCCATTGAGTCAAGCACATATGTCCACCTGTTGCCCTCATCAATCTCAAAACATTTGCCCTCTACTTTAGCCCTCAATATCATTTGCTCTTTTGTTGTTTTTTAAAGAACATTTTATTGTAGTTTGGGTAAACCTGCACAGAGCAAATGTGTTCCAACAATTAGTTTCAACAGTGAGCAAATTCTTTCCAACAGTTCATCCACCTTTTGTTTCATGACACTAATTACAATCCCCTTAGTATAGCAGTACTCTTTCCCGTTCTTCCCCGGGCTCCCTGTTTCCATTTGCCCATTTGTCCTGGCGGCTCTTCCTGCCATCTGAACTTAATTTGGGGGCAAATGATGATGTCCATTTGGTCATAGGCACTTGATTGCTTTCAGGAGCAATTTCCCTGTGAGTGTTACTGTTCACTTTATGGGTCTATTATTTCACTGAAAGATGATCCCCAGGGGTGGGTTCCATTCCAGGTTGGTACCAATTTCTACCACACCAGCCTGATCTTTTTTTTTTTTAATGATTTGGCTCCACCTCTTTGTCACAATCTGCCCAGGGCCTTTAGTTCTGATTGGAGTGGCCGATAGTGGTAGCCAGGTACCATCTACTTCTTCAGCTCTCAGGCTAATGGAGACTGAGCTGCATATAGTCATTAGTCTTTTGAACTGATTGTTTCCTTGAGTCCGCGACTTTCTGTTTTGCAGATTTGTGCAAGAAGAGCATAAGCCCAGAACAGGACATTAAGTTCACTGGTCATGTTAGCTGGGTTGGGAAGACATCCATGGAAGTGAAGATGCAAATGCTTCAGGTGTGTATGTTACATGAAGGAAAGGCTTCTTTATGTGTCTATCCACAGACAGGTAGGCAGCTCATCACTTGTAGAAAAAAAAACAATAGAAATTTGTACCATACTATCTTCCTCCTAGATAGAGTTGACACATGATTTGTGGTTTATAGTTGGTGTTTGTTTTGCCCCCAAATCGTATACACCTTTATGCAAGATCCCTGGTAGTGTAGTGGTTAGACTTGGACTGCTAACCATAAGATCAGCAGTTCAAAAACCACCAGCCACTCTGCAGGAGTAAGATGGGATTTTCTATTCCCGTAAAGAGTTACAGTCTCGGAAACTCACAGGAACAGTTCTACCCAGTCCTACAAGGTCACTATGAAACAGAATCGATTCTATGGCAATGAGCTTGGTTTTGAAAAAATATATACAGCTCTGTGGTAAGGTGCTTGTTTCTTGTTTTGCCCAGGAGAATGTTAGAAAGGTGGGCTATCTACGTCATGAATAGAAATGATCATTTAGAAACTTTAGCATAACTATTATAAAGAAATTTCACAAGAGAAAGTACTCCAAAGAGGATAATAGCACAGAAATTAAATACTCCAGAGTGTATCCAAGAGGTCTTCTAAATATGTATTTCTTATTTACTGTTGTTAAAAATGTACACAAGAAAACATATACAATTTCTTTAAGTACAATACAGTGATATTGATTACATTCTTTGAATTGTGCGGCCATTTAGCCATCCCTTTTTTTATTTTTGCCTCCCCTGCTGACATGAATTCCTTTCTCCCCAGTTTCCAATCTGATGCTTTGAGTTGATGTTAGCAATTTGTTCCCATATAGTAAGCTTTTAAAAGGGCACAAAGCTTGGTGTGGTGGGGTCAGGGCCGGCACAATTCCTACCATGTATCTCCAGTGTTGTCCCTGTGGTGCTATGGTAAGCTGACCAGATTTTAACATTGGAAAAGCGGGATACCATTGATAAAACTCATATCCTGGCGAAATAGCCACATGGCAGCCGAAAACCGTATACCCTAGCTTGTCGTGCATTCTTTCCAAAAACCGACTCTTTTAAAACGCCGCGGGACAAGTTGTTAAAAATCGGGACGTCTGGTCACCTTATGCTATGGGTCAGTGAGGAACATGTCACATGGTGGTGGGGCCGGCCCTGTGGTCCCCTCTGTGCATTGGCTGCTCTGAGCAGAAGTATTGTCCTCAGGGCTTGGTGGGCCAGGATGTGCTTTACTCTTTTTTCCTCTCCCCTCGTTTGCTCCTGTGTGCTCTGATCAGACACGCCCCTCTCCTTGAGCTGTAGCTTCAGTGCTGTCCTCTAAAATGAATATTTCTGGGGGCAGGAGGGGTTGTCCACTTAGTTGGTAATGGGGCCAGCCCCTCAGACCTCTCTATTTGTTCCCTGCTTCATGCCAGTGTGTGGCGTTCTTGTCTTGGAGTACCGGGTTGAAGTCTGGTCCCTCTTTCCCTGTGGAGATATAAGCAACACCCTCCCCTTGGGTGGGTTAAGATAAGAGCTGGAAACACAGGGAATACAGGACAGTTAAACTTCTTGGGACCAATATTGAGAGTAGCCATACCAGCAGGGGAAGGGGAAGGTGGGGGGAGAAAGGGGGAACCGATCACAAAGATCTATCTATAACCTCCTCCCAGGGGTATGGACAACAAACAAGGGGGTAGAGGGAGACATCAGACAGCGCAAGACATGAAAAGATAATAATATTTTAAGAATTATCAAGGGTTCATGAGGGAGGGAGGAGGAGGGAGGAAAAATATGAGGAGCTTAAGTAGAAAGGGCTTAAGTAGAAAGAAAATGCTTTGAAAATGATGATGGCAACATGTACAAATGTGCTTGACACAATGGGTGAATGTATGGATTGTGATGAGTTGTACAACCCCCAATAAAATGATTGTTTTTTAAAAAAAGGACACAAAGCTCATCGTAGATAGTATTTACTAGTTGAGCTAGACTGTTACTTGGTTATAAAGGAGTCATCAGGAGATATTTTGGGTTTATGGTTTCAGAGATAAAGATCACCTTAGGGCCATAGGGTTGGACTGGTAACCCAGCCTCACTGCTTATAGGAAGTTTAAATTCCATGAGAATTAAGTTCTGTTACTCATTTCCTTTCCTCCTTTTGATCAGAATTTTCTTTCAGATCTTTGATCAAAATGCTCAGTAATGATAGCCAGGCACCATCCAGTCTGGTCTTAGAGCAAAGACTACAGTTGATCTTGGAGGCAGTTGGCCACATGTTCCATATTCTCCTATTCCTGACTCATTTTGCCTTTGTCCCTCCTGATGAACAGAGAGCAATTGTATCTTGCTTGGCTACTTGTAAGCATGTCCAAGATTTTTAAAACAAAGCAAAAAAAAAAAGCATTTACTAATGCTGCTGTGATATGTTTACTGGCTTTTGGAATCTTCATGGTTG